CAGCGGTGCTGTTATCATCAGTGACCCCGTGAAGCTCCCTGTGATCTCTGCGTCACCAGGTCTGCGCAAAGCCAAGACCTGAGAGAGTCTGAACACGCATCCAGGTTTTGGGGGGGTTCGGTAGCATTCGGCAGGCGGCTGCGTGACGGGGGAGAGTCGCTCGTCTCCCATCTCTGAGCATCAGGTTTAGCAAAAATCCTTTTCCACGAGATACCTGCAGTAAGAAGGCAGAGCCTGCACACACACACACATCGGGGCTGACTTGCCCGGGCTTGGGCAGGCATTGTGTCCTGCACGCCGGCAGCACCGGGAACGTGGCGGCTCGGCTCTCAGCAGGCAGTATCGCATGTACCGCATTGTAGATAACCCAAAGAGATTTCTCCAGTCACCGTCAGCATCCTTATCAAACAAAGTGCATTTCGGTGGCTGTCAATATAGTAAATGACCTATTCAGGCCGCCCCTTTGATATGTACACAGAGCATTAATCTTTGCATCTTTATGCCAGGCTAAAAATAGCGGCTCCTTTCTCCCGCCGCCCCGAGCATCCCTGGCTGGCCCTGTGTCAGACGATCACCTGTTGCAGCCGGCTGCTCGGCGAGCAGCTTGTGTAACTCGGCTTAATGAAGGCTTACGGTACCGTCCCCGTCCCTGCTCAGGCAGTTCTTTCCAACAGGAATACGCATCGCAGTTGGAGGGTGGTTTTTTTTTTTTTCTCGACAGCTTTGAGCTTTCTCCCGTAAGACCACTGTGCCCAGCCTGCCTGCGGATCCACCGAGGGCCTGGCGCTTTGCAAAGCTGAGCTGGACCTGGGCTCGTGGGAAGGAGAGGTTCAGTCCTTGGACCGATGCACGTTGCACCAGGGACTCCTGTATATTTTAGGGGGTTGGGAGCTCCTTAGATGACAGTCCTGAAGCCTGACTGGAGCAGGCATAGTTTCAGTGTTATTACTGCTGTCTGCATTAAATACAGACGTTACTGAGTCCCCAAGCCCTGTCCTAGATTACAGTGAGCTCGTTTTAAAATCTGGGGACTGAGAGCTGTCTTTTCATGGGGTTATTTTCAGATCCTGAACTGAAATTTGCAGATGTCCTCAGGGCATTGGGGCACATCTTCATTTTCAAGGTACTGATGGGAAAAGTAAGGCAAAAGAGGCAAAAAGACCCCCTTTCTTGATGTTTCTCTCTCTGAGCAATCAAATTATTGCTTCACCCGCTGGTGGCTCTGGAAGTGTCTGCAATGGTTGTGACTGCAGAGGACAGCGATTAAACTATGTGTCTGGGTCTGGAGAAAGCCCAGGTTCATTTTCCAGCCCTGCCACAGATTTTCTTCGCGACCTTGGGCAAGGCAGGTAGGGTCCCGTTCCCAAGGGCGGCTGTGCATGATTTTCTTTCCTTGGTGCTTACAGACCTTTGGAGCATCTGGTAACAAGATTCAGCTGGTTACATGATGAACGCGATGGCTTTGCCCCAGACACATCACAGAGCACGAGGCGCTCAATGCTCTGACATTAACTTACATATCAGGACAGAAGGCAGATAAAAGTCTTGCAGGGGCCAGTGGGCTTCCCGGCTGGTGCTGGTGCAAGAGGAGAGTTGGATCCTCAGGCTTTGCACAGCAGAGAAGCTGCTTGGAAGTGGATGACGTGCTGCAGCAGGTTGCTGTTTGCTTGTTTGTTTCTTTGCAGTGTCCTTCTGTGTTGACATTTGTGCCGGGAGGTGGTATTTCGGGGAGGAAACGTGAGCTGTGCAAATACTGCAGCGAGCTCCAGCTCCCAACTTCGCAGAGATCTGTCAGCTGGCACCACAGGCTGCTTTTCATTTCCAGCTCGTCCTCTGCTTGCATGTCATTAAGCGTGACACTGTTGACGTGTGCATGGCAAGTGTCATGCATGTTGCCGCAGAGTTGCCAAGAAAAGGCAGAAGAGCTGACAGCCAGCGCCTGTTCGCTTTCTGTGCAGGGAGTTTGCAGCAGATGAGGCAGCTCCTCTCCCCATCCCCGTGGTTGCGATTACAGAGCGCTCAGAACAAATCTCGCAGACCACCGTGGGATGTTCTCCATTGCCGAGCCTGCCAAAGTGCTGCCCAGCACGGTGTGAATGCAACGCTAAAGTGTATGGCACGCTGGAGGTGTCCCGCAGCGGCGGGCAGCGGGCAGCCTGCCTGCAACGTGGGGCTTGGTCGTGGGGGCTTGACTGGAGGATGCTTTAGATCAGGGGTCGCTCTGCCTGCCAATGGTGCTCAGGAGAGTGGATACCTGCACAGAGTGGGCATCCCCTCTGAGCAGCCCAGGACCAGGATCCGATCTTGGTTGTGCCCCAGTAAATCAGCACTAATTGCTTCTGAGGAGTTAATGGCTGGAGGAGTCACTGTTGCTATCAGTATTTGGACCATCATATTCATTGCACCTCATTTTTCTCATGTAAAGAGTTAATTTCCATAGATGAATGGGAAAACTATTGCTGTAGGTAAAGGAAAGTTGCCACGGACCTACACTGGGATCGGCTCGCAGCATGAACCCATCGGTTGACTTCGGCGCAGTGGGGCTGGGAGCGACGAGCCCGGCCAAGACTGCCTGCATCATCGGGGAGAGGGCAGCAAGCAAAGCTGGTTGCCAAACTGTAACTCATTTTTCCTGCAGTCAGGTCCAGGGCCAGGCGAGAGGGGAAGCACTGGCAGAGCTGGGGCTTCTTCCAGTCCTTGGAGACCTCCAGAGAGACTCAACAGATGCCTGTGCTCCTGCTGAGCACTTTGGGCAGGGCACAACGGGGGAGAAGGGGTTCAGCTGCCGCTGGCTCACGTTTCTGAATGTAACTAGGACAGAGCATTGCACTTAAATTCACCCACTGGGCAAAGAGTCTCATCTTCGCAGGGCACGGAGTGTGTTGGCGGTGCCAAACCTGGCACCCGCATGCCACCCTCCTGCCCGGCGGGTGGAAGGAGCTGGGTCGGCAGCGTGGCTGAGACAGCAGCGTGGTGAGCAGAAGCCCTTGCCTTAGCCCTGTCCCCCACGTTTATCCCACGGCTCGGGCGCGTGCTGCCTTTCGAGGGGTGTGAGATGCCCCTTTGCGGCCATGGAGCAGGGATGGGTTGGTGCCGCGGTCCCAGCTCGCCGGCAGGACCACTGGCTCCAGGCAAGAGCATCGCTATTCGTAACAGCCCCGGTCCTGTGCTTGCATGTGCTTTCCACATCACATTTTCTGGTTTCACAGGCAGGACAGTGTGTTTCTCCCAAATGGGCTATTTCTGCTCTGATGTGGTATTCCTGTGTGAGCCTCTCCGCGAGCCCCCATGGGGAGAAACAACCCTCTAACGTCAGGGGGAGCAACATGAGGTTGATGCTGGCAGCTGTAGCTGTAGGTTGAGTTATTTGACTGAGGAATCCAAACACATAGGAGGCTGCTGCCAGCAGGCTGGTGGTAATGCAAGGCAGGGAGGAAGAAAGGAGCCACACAAAGTGGAAAAATGGCTTAATTTCTCATGGTGTGAGGGAGAATTGGAGAACTGTTGAAGAGCAGGCATGTTCCCATGGAGAGCCCGGCACAGAGCCGCCCGCTCGGTGCTTCCCTGGGGCTGCTCTGCAGCATGGAGCCGTGCGGCGTGCGGGCTGGTTCATACCGAAAAGCATCAGTGGGTGTTTAGGAAGAATGAGATGTGGTGGTAAAGCCTGCGTGCGGCACTGATACTGGTTTTATTTCTGAAGGGATTGGTGTTACGCCACCAATCTGCAGGGCAGAATACACTGAGGTAGATGGAGGCACAGGCCAAAAACCAAATTCCTGATTCCCAGATGGCTCCTTCCCCTCCTGATCGCAGCCTGAGGCGGGTGGGCATGGCGCCGCGTAGGAAGCCAGCCCAGCGGGAGCCGGAGCTATGCCACGGCGGGATGCGGGCTGGCTCTCGGTGGCAGGCGCGATGCCAGAGCCATGCCGCCGCACTCCCACTTCCCCGCGCCGCTTTTCTCTGGGACACTGGGAAAAGTGCAAACTCCCAGCCCATGACCACCGGTCATCTGTCACAGTCAAAGGTGGATATTTCTCTGGTTTTACATGATTTTTATCTCTGAAGACCTCAAAAGCTTTTTTACCGTTTTGTTGGAGAAAAAGATTAATGAAGTTTTCACTGCACTGATACTGGTTTTATTTGGGATTGGTGTTACGCCACCAATCTGCAGGGCAGAATACCCTGAGGTAGATGGAGGCACAGGCCAAAAACCAAATTCCTGATTCCCAGATGGCTCCTTCCCCTCCTGATCGCAGCCTGAGGCGGGTGGGCATGGCGCCGCCGAGGAAGCCAGCCCAGCGGGGGG